TGAATAGCACAGGCCTGAGGACCAAGCCCTGGGGAACTCCACTGCCCACATCCCTCCAGGCTGAAAACAACCTGTTCACCACCACTCTCTGGGTGTGACCATCAAGCCAATTTGCCACCCATCTGACTGTGTAGGCATCAACTGACTGTGAGTTAGCTTGAACCAGGAAGCGGTCTGGGACAAAAGTTCTATTAACCGGTTTGACCTAAATCAGTTAAGTCTGATACTACATTCAACCAGGTTTATCTTAAACCAATTTCGGCCATTTTGAAAGCAGTTTATGTGCACTGGACTTCTGTCCTGTTACAGGTTTAAACCAGTTTCTGATCACTTAAATTGGTTTATGTGTCACTTGTGTCCCTAGCCTGTGTATACACTTTTTTCTAGATTAAATGTCCACAGAGAAGATCATACCAATATAATTATAGTTATATCAGTAGATTTCCCCATTTAGACAAACCCTCAGATGGTGCTTTCAGCTTGCTGTGAAGAGGTGGAGGATGTTAGTACCAAATAGAGGTGCACCGATACATCGGTCCAATATCGGATCAGTACCAGTATAAAAAAGATTTGCTGTATTGGATATCAGCCCATTGGGGCTGATAATTTGGCCGATAAATGCCCGTGCTGTGCGCAGCCACAAAGCGGGGCAGCCATGAAGCAGAGCAGCATGGAGAGCTGCCTCCAGCTGTTAAGTTGGAAGGGGAGGGGGGAGAGAAGAGGGGGGGAAGATCAAGGCCCCCATGGTGAGGGAGGGAGGAAGGGGGCAGGGGCATGTGCTGCCCAGGGGGATGGGGGTGTGGGATGGAGTAGCGGTTCATGGGAGGAAATGGCTCCTGCTGCTGCTTGCACCCCGGGAGGGCAGGTGTACCCCCCCAGCTATGCGGTGGGCAGGCAGGTGTGTTGGAGCCAATGGTGTGCAGGGCTCTTTTTGGTGGGAGCTGGGCTCGGAGTGGGTGCCGGTGGCGCTGGGAGGGGCTGCAGCCACCTCAAATGTTTTCACCGCTCTGCTCCCAGCCCCACACCTCCAGGCACAGCCCGGCTCTGTGTCCTGCCTCCACCCACGTTCTGGGAAGAGCTGAGATGGCGCCAGGCAGCTGGCGGCAGCAGCGGCACTGGGAGCGGAGCTGAGGCAAAATTTGGGGTGGATGCAGCTCCCCAGTGCTGCCGGTGCCCGCTCTGAGCCCAGCCTCTGCCAGGAAGAGCCCACGTGGCCCTGGCTCCAGCCCACTTGCCTGCCCCATGCAGATCCAGGAAACAACGCCCCCCCTGCCCCCCACCCTCCTGTGGTGCAAGCAGCAATGGGAGCCACCCCCTCCCCCACGAGCTGTGCCTCCATCCCACCCCTCTTGCCCCCCTGGGCAGCACCT